GTCATAACAATGTCATTAAATGTATCAGTCATAATACTTTCAAACAAAGGTTGTTTGATGATAGCTCTAATAGTATTGCACTGTTCTGCAATCTGCTTGAAAGTATCATGGTTGAAAGAACTAGATGCCTTTTTCTTATTTTGTTTCAATTGTTTCTTAGTTTGCTGTGATTGTATAGAGTTCTTTGGCCAAATGGGCTCATTGATGTTTAACAGTTTATGTAGAGAAGACATAGCAGTGTAAATCTCATTGAATGATACATCTTTCAATTCTTCTGCCAGCTCTTCAGCTGGGATTATAGCCTTGAACTTGTAGAACATGGCATTCTTTTTTTTGATACGTTGCTTGAGTTTATCAATACCAAATGATAACATCTTGGCTTGGGCATCCACAACATAACTATCTCCAAGTATGGTGGCAACATCAAAGTCATCAGGAAGTTGCATGATATGTGCGCGAAGTTCTCGCAAGGTAGTCCAAGCATCAGAGATTTTCTCTGCGGTACTAGGTGGAACCAACTTATTGCACGCCAAGTACAGCTTGATATTGTCATCCTTGCCTTGTGCCGTCCAATCATCCATGCAAACAGCGAGACAATCATCTGTAATGCCAGGGATGGCAGCAATATAATAAATCAGAGCATTGACATCTGCTTGAGTACTGATATCCATATTGCGGTTGCGCTGTCTAGGCCTCCAAGAAATATCCTCGTTCAAAACGGGCTGTATATGCTTCGTCACGACGTGCAAGGAGTTAGATGCTATGCATGCCAGGAGCTGGAAGATCTCGGGATCGTTCAAAGTGGAAGGATTGTTAGATGTCGCGACGTCCTCAGGCTTGGAATCATTCAAGGTGGAGGGAACGTTGGACATCGCAGAGATCTTCAGGTCATTCAAAGTAGAGGCAACGTTGGACATTGTAAAGAGCAAAGATGTGTATAGCAGAGCGGGGCAGCAGCAGACAGTGGTGGTTGAGGAGGAAGAGCGAACAGAGGGCGACCAGGGAGTCGCGACGACGGATCGATGAGAATCAGATAGCGATTCTCCGTCATTTTACCGACTCTCCACGAAAGTATTGAACCCCGTACAGGCGCTGATAATTGCTCTGGTTTATAACATGCTACCGCCGGCTTTACGCTTTCGATGTGTGCGAGACTGCCGAGTGTAGATTCACCATTCTCGAAAGGCACACAAGATGTCGCAGAGGTAGTTAAGTACAAGGCCGAACGAACACGAGAAGTACAGGAGCAGCAATCTGGAGGCTCAATGAGCATGATCTGACCCTTCCCGTTACCTCTCATACAGCGTATGTATCCCATCCAAAAGTATATTCGGCACCTCCCGCAAGCACGACTATCCGGAGAACGTATCCGGTTGTAAGACTAAAATGGAGAAAACGAGCAGTGACGAGCCAATGTCATCAAAAATTAGAACGAATAGCATGAGACGCAACACAATACCAATGCTGATACACATCACGATGAGAGAGTGAATCAGAATAGTCTCTATACTTGTATTAGGGAGACTCCCACCTTCTATCAAGAGGCGAAAATTCCCTACAACGTCCGCACCCACGTCCCGAGCTGCTGCAACACCTCAGTCCTCTCCGGCTCATACATTTCCAACACCAAAACATCATGTGTAGCATCGGGAGGCTCAATGAGCATGATCTGGTCCTTCCCATTATCCTGGACCAACCTCTCATACAGCGTATGTATCCCGTCCAAAGTATATTCGGCACCTCCCGCAAGCACGACTGTGCGAGGAAATCCGGAGAACATACCCGGCTGCCAATCTGCGTTGAGGGCACCGGGAGAGATCCATGCACTCTGGGCCGCCCATTCCTCTGGGAAACGACCGACAAGTGCGCGCCGTGGATATCCACTCTCCAAGACGGCATGCACAAAGTCGGACTGAGAGTTGCGCACCATGGATGACTTTGGTCCGACATGAGTCTGGGCCCAGTCCACGGTTGGGGATGACAGAATGATACCGCCCGGCTTGGGTAGAGAGGGAAGGTGGGCTGCGACGAGGTATCGAGCAAGATTGAATGCGATGCCGCCTCCAGCTGAATCTCCGGAGAGAACGATGCTCCCAGGGTCGAAACCGACGTCCTCAATGAGATATCGGTAACCCGAAATGGCGTCGATGAGTGAGGCAGGGAACGGGTTTGCAGGCTGGAACGGCGGGGCTGATGATAGTCGATATTCGATTGCGAATACGCGAACCTTCGGACCGAGGTGATCTAGATAACCCTGTGCCAGAGTTTTCGCCTCGGTCTTCGGATTGGCAGACCCAAGCTACATCGCGTTCAGTGAGTCAAGGAAGCTGCGAGTAATGGAAAAACTAACGACGTGTCCACCACCTGAACAGCGCAGCCATCAGTACGATGCTTTACAAGTATAGACTCGTCAGCATACCATGCATGTGATACACAACCTTCTCGCCGGGGGACGCTGGCTGGCCTACCTCGCCATCGGGGCCTCGAGGACCATACCAGAATCCACCAACACGCTCAGCCTTGACTCCATTTTTCTCCGCCAACTCTCTTATCTCGCCCACGACGAGGTCAGGAGTTGCCTTGACCCATACGAAACCAAGAGCCTTTGCGTCTGACTCGAACTTCGTGAGAGGAGTTGGAGTGGGTAGCGCTGTCTGGTACCTAATTTTTAGCAGGGGTCGCAAGAGGCGGACGAAGATCGCGCGTTTGAAGGACCAGGATCTGCGAGGGCGCGTGGCAGGAATAGCTGCGAGGACGAGCCATACAGGAAGAGAGACCAATATGTAGATAACACCGCCCAGGATGAACATCGTCCTGAGCGGCTGGTGTCTGAACGCGAAAGGCATGGTGAGTGGGGTGTGGTTGAGGGAGGAAAGGACGTTGGAAACGGGGCACAAGGCGGTTTTAAGAAGCCCTGAACGTGTGTCGAAGCACCGCATCCTGTAGGAACTATTCCGCCGATGCTTCGACGATACCCTGAGCAAGAGTCGCAGCAGGGTTTAAGAAGCACTGGGACGCGTCATCGGTAAGGAAGCCAAAAGAGTTGTGTGAGGGATTTACTCACCAGGGTATGCGCTCTTTGTCGGACACGGCGAATTTGACAATATATGTACAAGGGTTCTTTCCTGAGCGCGGCATCTCGCAGGGATACCTTGATAATGCTCAACCATAGCCCTGATTGAGCGCGTCGAGATTAGAACCTCGACATGAAACACCTCGCTTGCGATCATCATCTACTCTTCTCTGGCCTTACTGCGTCGCAGATACCTCTTGTACGCAGCCAACTCCTCTTGTCCTTCCTCGCTCCACAAGACCTCCAGATCATCGGATATCCGAGTGCACATATGTTCCCAGATCATATTCGTGAGCGATATGTTTTCTTGACCACTATATCCGCCATCCTCGCGGAAGGGAGGAGGTAACACCCACGGCAGATCGAATTCTTCACGAAAAGACTGGTCGAACGTGAGAGTGAAATAGCCAAAGGTCTCTCTGCATGCAGAGATAAATCGAGAGCAGGCGTAGCAGGGAATAGACGAAAGACCCATATGAGACGCCACCGTGAACCGATCGAAAATGTAAACTGCTAGTCGAGCTTCGCAGTGCGCGGTTCCCTCGACTGTTATTTCTGATTTTCCGACCAGTTGAGGTGACTCAGCGTAGAGACGTTGAGTGACGTACTCCGAGGTGAGCGGAGGATCTGTGTATCCTACAGCTTCAGTGAGGAGAGGGAAGAGAGTCGCTGGAGAGACGTCCACAGTAACGCTATAAGAACTTGCAGTGGGCACTACGACTATGTCGGGCGGTTGGTCGAGATACTTCCGGAGTAGGGACTGTGGAGAAGCTATCAACAAGAGATAGTTCACGTAGCGATGGAGCCGTATGATAGAGACCATATAGGCCGACAGAGTGAATCGGGAGTGAGAACCTGTATCAAGTTAGCGTACCAACTTCGAGGTTCAGACGACTCATCATACCTGACATCTTGCGATAAGCAGCGTGCCAACGCGCACGCAGCTCATACGAACACGAAGTGAGCATCGTATGAAGAGCATCGCACAACATCGTCACCTCTACGCACTGTTCCTCAGACAGAGAACGTTGCTCGGTTTCCGGCGTAAGCAAAACGTCTGTCAGTCTTTCAATGGTACGAAAAACGCTCTCGAGTTTCTCGACGTCTTCTACGTCCTCCAATGTCCGCATAGTATCGACGAACCGTTTGTAGGGTTCCATTTCTTCGCGAAGCGCACCGACGACTCGATGCATGCACGCCCGATAGAACAACGTAAGGATCCCACTGCGCACTTCCTCTGCCCTCGACGCATCTTCCAAGTCCGAAGCATCCTTCAGCTCTCGCAAGAGCATCCAAACGGAAGATAAATGCTCAAGTATCCTCGTATCGTCCCCAACCAAACCATCCTGCGAGACAAACAAAGTAACACCCATCGGCGTACTCGTATACGTCACCGCAGCCCGACCGTCCTCGTTCAAAACGGACAAGTAAGCCAGAGTATCCAGTACAGCGGGGACAGTGACCTCCCCTTTGGATATGGCGTCGAAAGGACCGTGATAACGATTTGGCTGGTCGATACGTCGGGATATGGGACGGAGGTGTCTATCGTTTGCTCGTATTAGGTGGAGGTATTGATAGATCTTGGTTGCGTCCGCAGGAGAACTCCTTTCGTAGTCTCTGTTCGAATCGTTAGTGAGTTTGTTTCATGAAATCGCGCATTTTTTTCGTTGACGTTGAGAGGACAGGACTTGGGCATACCCAGTTGCGGCCATTGTGGTTCCTAGGCCTTGTAGAGCACCCCAGCAGCAGTAATTGTGTAGGATATGGCAGGGGTGGAATACGGCTCAAGGGTTAGAAAGACCAACGAAAGATCAAGGGTCTCGGGAAGTCAGAAGGTCAGAAGAGAGTGCGCAAACGAATGTCTTGACGTCATACACACCGTACATCATTAACCAAACATATACTCTCAAAGCCCTGTCCTTCCATCGCCGGGATAGCTCAGCTGGGAGAGCAACAGACTGAAGCCCAAAAGCGGCTTTCTGGAGGTCCCGTGTTCAATCCACGGTCCTGGCACTTTATCTCCACCCCTCCGTTTTTACGCGGTGTTATCATGGTTACAAGGCTGCTTTTTGTTTTTCTGCACTGATAGTCTGAGTCTACACTGTACAGATCTACTAGAGAGCGAGTCATGGGTGCTTTGGAAGTGAAGCCTGAAGTGTGATTTCATGGTGTTCAGAGTTTAACGTTTAGCAGCCTGAAGAGAGTGCTGGTACGCCGAACCAACATCTCAACATCTCCAGGCCTTCACATGCACACCCAACTCCGAGCTCTCGCGTCACACACATTCAACATTCAACGTTCAATGTGCAAATCATCATCATGAAATCATGAAATAAATCGTGCCATATCTCATCAAGTCAAGTCACAAGCCAACCCATCAAGAGTCAACATCGACGTCTACTACGGTACGTTACGGACGTGTACGTGTACGTGGGTGGAATGTTTGTTCGTAATGCGTGCGTGCCAATGGTGGAGAAAAGAAATCGAGATCAGGACCGATCGAGGAAAGAAAGAGTGAGAAGAGGACGAGAACCGTGGAAAGAGGATTTGGAAGAGGACGTGCAAACTTGAAGGATATCAAGGGATCAATGAGATGTAGAACTTGTACTAGGAGTTGTACGAGATTGAACTGACAATCGACAGTGGGCAATGGATATCGAGAAGAGACCTTGAGAAGAGAGAGAACTTGAAGCGACAGATGGCCCCATACTTGAATACTGAATGCCGATCACTCCGACCTAACGTCGAAGCAACCACAGGCAAGACCAAGACCGAGAACGAGAATGAGGGGAGAGAATTCGTTCGAGAGTGGTAGGTGGTAAAGGAAGACCTAACGTCTAACCAACCACCGACCGCCCAATCTCCCGACCGGAGACAGAGGTGCGAGTGAGAGTGGGAGACCGAGACCTAACGTCATCGGCGACAGCCACGGGAAGAAATAGAGATAGTACTGCAGAGGGGAGGGGGATCCAAAATAACGGGGACAGACGAGGACGAGCGATAGAAAGAAAACGAGCGAACGCAGTAGAGGGCCGGGGCACCATATCCGCAGGAGCGTGTACGATCATCGTAAGGAAGCCTTCGAGGCCTTCGCGTTAACATTCACTCTCTCCCTCTCTCCACCATTCACCCTCTCCCCAGCATCCAACCCATCCTCACTACCTCCCCCTCCCTTGCCATCGCCAACAGCACTCGCACTACTCACATTCCGAATAGACACCAACACCTCCTTACAATACTTCAACTTATCCACCAGTCTCTGCATCGTCTTCGTCTGCTCTGGATCGTTTCCATTGACTCCATGACCACCGTGACTACCACCGTTAACAGCAGAGGAAGAATGGGGGAGAGGTTTAAGAGTGGTAGGAGAGATATTAAGCGAGTACGCCATGATCTCTGAGAGCGTGTATCGTGTGAGTTGGTATGATTTGTCGATGTGGGTGACTACGAGGCCGTTGGAGGATAAGATCAGTTTGGAGTGGTCGTAGAAGTTGAACTATACGCGAAGTGATCATCATCGTCAGTTACGTTCATACTCTCAAAGAAATCAAGCGAAAAGAAATAAGATAGCAAGAGAGAGAGAGAGAGAGAGGGGGGGGGGGGAACCGGGGAAACGAAGAGGAAAACGCACCTGCAAGACATCATGACTCATCTTAAACACGATCACATGTTTCATCCTCAAATACTTCTGAACAAAATCCATCCCTTTCGTCCTCTCCAAATCCTCATACGTATACTCATGTTCCCCATACAGCCTATCCATAATATACCTCTCGAAATGTTTGAGAAGGTATACTTTGGATTTGAGGTCGGAAGGGTAGTCGGTGACGGTGTGGTTCTTGCGGACGTAAACGGTTCCTTGACGGCGGAGGGTGATATAGTCGAAGTGGCTGTCGACGCCGCGAAAAAAACACAAACGTCAATAAACTCCACAAAAACACGAAAAAAACATCATAAAAAACGGAAAGGAACTCACTGCTTATCAGCCCCCAACACCAAACTCGTACTATCATTAAAATGCACACCCACACTCCCATCCGTCAAAGCATACCCCATCCCATACTTATTACAATAATCCACCCAACTCACAATGAACACTTTCGGGTCGGGCAAGGAGACGTCCCCACGTGGGTCCCGGAAGAGTTTACCTTTGGACTTGGCGTCGAAGGCTGCTGTGAGGGTTTGTGCGGCTAGGTCGAATCCGTTTGGTTTGAGTGGGGGGATGCCTGAGGTGGAAGGAGGGACGGAAGGGGCTATGGTTGTGCTGGGGACGCCGGGGTTGGTGGTGGTAGGCGGGTTAGGGGGGACAGAAGGAGTAGAAGAAGAGGTAGAAGACGACGTAGGGATCCGATGACGAGGACGAGGATGCTCATGACCTTCCCGAACTCTCTCTCTCTCCTTCTCCTTCCTCAAAGGTTGGAGATGAGGCTCATCATACCTCTTCCTCCTAATCTCCTCCACGCCAGACCCAAACGGCGGTACGTTCTCTTGTTCCTCCTCCTCCCCATCCTCCTCCTGCTCTTGGTCTTGGTACGGGTCCTGGTGTCGGTTCTTACCCTCGCCATTTCCATTGGGCACCATCTGAGCGACGATCCTCGCTTTCTGGGCTTCGAGCTCCTTCCTCCTATTCTCCGCATACCTATCCTCCTCCTCCTCCACAATATTTTGTAACCTCGCTTCTCTCCCACCTACACCCGGCCTCCCAGGACTCTTCCCCTTCCCATCCCTATCCCTCGCAGCCTGAAGCTTCCGAATAAGCGGCTGGTCAGCACGTCCAAGAGCTGTAACTCCCGAAACAGCAAGAGGAGCAACAAGAAGCGGTTGACGTGCGGAGCTTAGGAGAGCAGAGATAGGGCTTCCTGGTTGCACTGCTTTTTGGAATTCTTTTTCTTGTTGCGCGAGGCTGGAGCTGACGCCTTTGATCTTTGCGGTCTCGGTTCTGTTCGTCGCTGTAGATGTGGCAACAGTAGCAGCAGCAGCAGCAGAGGAAGCGGCGGTCGTAACCCCATTCCCATCACCCATCTCCTCATCCAACAACGCCTCCTTCCTCAACCGCGCCAGATTCATCTGACTTTGCTGACGCGTAATACCTCTAAAATCCGGTACACTATCATGTGCCGTCGGAGGTATATAAGACGGTACGATCCCGTTGGTGAAGAATACGTGGTCGACGATTTCATGGAGGGTGGGACGTTCTTGAGGGTTGGGGGTTAGGATTTGTTGGACGAGGTCCTGGACTTCGAGAGAGACGATTCGGTCGGTTGGGAATTCGTATACGTTGTCTCGAATGCGTCTGCGATATGGTCAGGATACAATGCGAAATTGCGAAGAGAGAGAACGCACTTGTAGATATTCTTGACGTCCTTGGTCTGGAACGGCGGGCGCCCAATGACCAAAGTGTACAGAATAACCCCAATAGACCAAGTATCCACCTCAAACGAGTGTCCATTGGCGGTATCAAACAAGACCTCGGGGGCAATATAATTCGGGGTCCCACATATCGTCTTTTTCCTCTCCCCAGGGTTCTCAATCAACGCGGCCAACCCGAAATCCCCCACCTTGACATTCATATTTTGGTCCAAGAATATATTACCCAACTTTAAGTCCCGATGGATGACTTGGTGGGTATGCATGTATTCGCATGCTCCGATGAGTTGGACCATGAAGAAGCGGGATTCGGGCTCGGTGAAACGACGACGACGACGGAGCATGTCCATGAGGGAGCCGTTGTGACAGAGCTCGAGGGTCATGTAGACGTTCATGTCGTCTTCGAAGCAGTCTTGGAAACGAACGATGTTGGGGTGGTTCAGCGAGCGGTGGATCTTGATTTCGGCGTAGAGCTGCAGCGTTTGTTTAGAGATGTTGTATATGCGAACCCGACTGCGCGGCTGACCTTTGTCTTTGCTTTCTTGGAGGAGAGCGAGTCCTTGGTGACGACCTTGCAGGCGGAGCGGGCCCCAGTGCGGTCTCTAACTTCATACACACGCGCAAATCCTCCCTACGCAAACATCAGCAAAACCCACAACACCTCACAAGCAACAGAAAAGGACACACCTCACCGAGCATGCCGACACGGACGAACTCGAGTGTACGGGACTTGTCGGCAATGACCTTGGGAGGCGTAGGCGGCGGGGCCTTTGCCTTCTGGCGAGGCAGGGGCGGGGAGGACTGGCCCCGTGGTTTGTCGGGGACGGCGGGGGGCTTCGGGGGAGTTCCGGGCATTTGGGGCTGCTTGGGGTTGACGTTGAGGGCGTGGTGGGTGTTGGCGGCGGCGGCGAGGGGGTGTCTGCGGGGCGGCGGGGGCATCGGGGCGTAGTGGGACATCGTGGCAGGCCTAACACCTTGGATGTCGCGCGAGGATCTCTTCTTGGTCGTAGCCTGTTGAGAGCTCTCGAAAGTGAACCGCGAGTCCGAGTCGAACATCGTGGCGAGGGCGTGCCAGCCGCCGTTACGTAAGCCCACGTGGCCCCCGTCGCGTCGCGCGTATTCTGCACGGGGTCGCGCGCGCCGGCTTCCCTGCCGAGCGGGACTCCTTCTTTTGTCCTCGACGAGACACAGCAGGGACAAGGACATGCAGGGTCCCGCCTGGTGACCGTCGCGAACGCCATGTCCCTCCCCAGAGGTGAGCCACTCGACACCGTCCCCCCCCCGCCTTGTTCTCCCTGATCGCGGCCCTTGCACTCGCACTCGCAGGCGGTGTCTTTGTTTTCCAATCAGCAACCTTAGGCATGCCTCCTCCGTCCCCCCTTCGTCGGAGTACGAACTTATTTTACTTGTATATGTGCGTTCCCTAAGTCCCTGCGGTATCCAGTGCAGTGCCCCTCGTTGTGGGCTTGTGATAACACAAAAGAAAAGAAAGAACCAACACGTGCATCTTTTCTCTGGGGTCTTGTCGCCCGCCCGCGCCCCCTTCTTTCCAGTCGCCGTCCCAATATGGTATCCGCCTCTGAGTCTGAGTTGGTATAAAGGTTATTTATCCGTCCGGTAACTCCTTTTCCTTCCCTTTTATCTCA